CCGAAAGTTATACCTATACTAGTTGTACATGTTACTTTTTCTACGACTGTTCTCCATCGAGTAGAAAACGGGATTCTAAACGATGAAATATACTACGATGAGACATTACAAAATCCGTTTCTCCTTGGATTTTATAGAACAACAATTTTGAAAATAAAACTAATGTAGAAGGAACAAAATCGACCTCAAAACACGCCAGCGTGATAATTAATAATATCGCTAGAAACCTAAAAGTATGATCGTAAGTAACTTAAAGTCCTTCGCGACATCACGGAATAGAGATGGGACTTTTCGACGCCATTAAAAAATTGCACAATAAGGATGAATAAAAAGTTTTCGCAATTTGGCTACCCCAACCAGAAAATTATTTATGGTCGCTTTGTATGCGAAGCTTCTAATAATACGTTAATAGATATTTTAGTGCAACCTTCTGCTAGATGTTTTCTAGTTTAAACTCACTTGACCTATGCTTTGTCAATGCTACCAACACGACATGGCGCTGGGTTTGAAAAAACCATAAATTAGTCCGGACGCACAATTTAAATTTATACTGATATTAAAGTTGATCAAACTAACAATTTTTTTTTTTTGATAAATTATAGTATAATGTTTTTATTCAATAGAAAGTGTAATTAATTCAATTATAGTGTAAAAAATTTAATGGCCTACTAGATAACTCAAAAAAAAAGGAAATTCATACCTTATTTAATAAAACTTCGATTATTTCAAAAACTACTGGATTTGGGTATAGGGAATATCCATATGGATCGAAAGAGCTTAAAAAACTGCATTGGCATAAAAAAAAATTGGCTTTTTGTTTCAAAAAATTTTTCCAAAAAAAGCGCCCGGACTAAAATCGCGCGGCCATTGCAATATTGAATTGAAAAAAAGCAGTAAATCGGTTGGTGTGTTGCGACATTGGCTGATGCAAGGCTAGATAAATGTCGTTAAATTATACGATTTTATTTCAAATATTTATTACGCCAACAATTTTCTCATTGTGAATACGAGAAACCTATTATAGGTTATTGAACATCAAAAAGGTATATTTATTTGCCTTTTAATTTTGATATCTCTGTGTTTGATGGTAAAGTAAAAGGACACTTTTATATGCTTTCTTATATAGTTGGTGATTGGATTATTTCTAGGTGTATACAAGGTGTCGCAAAAAACTATATCTAAAAACTCTAAAGAAGTTATAGGTGTTAAAGTTTTAAAATTAAAAAAGATATATTTTTTATATTTGACCCATATTAATTGGCCTCTTTTTAATGAAAATTTGTACAGAATGTCTCTGTTTGGTGAAATATTTTTGTGTATGTAAAAAAATGTTTATTCAATACACGCTTATAATCGTCCCACAACACTTTCGGACATCCTGTATATATATAGAAAAGCGAATTTAAACTAATCTAACATTGACCAAATAAGAGATTGTGTAACATTTCGAGCCAACGACCCGAATTGAACTTCTAATTAAATTCGCGCATTTTACCCAATAAAAAAAAATCCATCATCGAATTCTTTCCTTTCTTATATACACACCGTTAAAGAGCGAATCCAGCGGAGCGTGCACTAGTGCGATTATTACGTTATAAAAGAAGAGAAAGTAGGAAACGGTTAATTTTTCGAAAGTGAAATTTCGTCTGGTCGTACCGTTATGTTTCTCTTATACTCTTCAAGCGCATAAAACCCGTCATCGAACGCGAAGAGATGGTGGAAAAACTTTCACTCTAACGTTTTCGACTTCCTCGTCCGCTTGTACCAGCAGGAATTCGATTCGTATATCGATTCGCTATGTTCTGAACACTTTATATGTTTGGGACAATCTGTATAGTTTATTATTAGCAGTCTCGTTGTGGGGGTGAAGCTTCCCTATGATAGGAAATAATGATTCTAAATGCTATAAGTATATGATGCTGAGTAGCCGATGAAGGATAAGGCCGAATAATATAATATAATAAGTAGAAGATTTGTTTTTTTTTTATTTCGAGATTGGTCAATATATCCGAGATAATAATCTCCATGAGAATGTATGTATTTCGAGAAAGAAATCGTGCACCTTCCTATTGCCAATCTAATTTTCATAACCTTTGTCAAACCGGAGCTTAACTTTCACTATTTACTTTCGTTCTTTTCATAACATAAAGACATATTGTTTCGGATTTTTTTTTTTTTAGACGCATTGTGTTTCACTCGCAAAGTTCGTTTACCTTTCCTCGTAATTTCGATTCGCTAAAATAAACTGGTCCGATCGAACCAGGAAACCGCCATATTGGATGATCTCCTGTCACCTGTCAAATGCGATTCTAATCTATTTTAATTCGAATTGTCATTTTTGTGAAACGGTTGTGTGAAACGACAGTTCGAGCTGTCAAAAGTTAAAAAATTCTTTAACAGAAGATAAACTGTCCTTTAATCTAAACTCTTCAACTTTAAAAGTAATTTTACATATTTTTAACTAATAGAATCGACCATATTGCAAACACATTAGCACTTATACATCAAATATAGGTACGTAATTTACAGCTAATCTTTTTTGCATTACCTATACGTTATAAAACCGGCGACAAATCGATCGTTTGTATATGCACATAATATACCCGGCTTTAAAATCGATTGGAATCGAATCGAATCGAACGTTATGCGCCCGCGATGTGGGTCAACTTTCTCTCTTATATATAGTTATACCCAGAGAGAAGTGAAACCGCCATTGGGAACGGTGCTCGTTGTTTTTTTTCTCTCTATAGTTTTTTTTTTCATTTTTCATTTTCGCACACTCAGCGATCGAGCGGGGTCAAAAACCTCGTCCGTTGGGGCGGTTGCGTAACCACGACCGGCCTTCCTCGAGCCTCGGCTCTTCGCTCTTCGAAAAACCCCGCTTTATGACAAGGTCTCCGCGTCTCCGTGGGAACCATTTTCTCCTCGAAATGTCAAAAAATAATTTTTGACACTGTTGACAGCTCGAACTGTCGTTTCACAACAACCGCGATTTATTTGTAGCGCGACGCTGATTGGTCGAGATAAATTGATCCTCCGATTATTCGCCATGTTGTGGAGAAAAAGTGAAACTCGAAAAAGTCCTCAAATAACGGTAACACATTCTCTAATGCATTTAACATATAGGGAGATTCCAGACTTTAGAAATATAGGAACGTGCTTAATTTATATCCCTGCCTCGTTTAGCGACTTGAACATTCTATTGACAAATGACATATGACTTAATGACAGTAATTCATAACCAAAATGGCGGGTTTCTGGTATAAAATCTAAAAGTATATAAACAGTAGGTTACCGTCTTGATCTATCGTTGAAGTTTCCATGCTCTATATCATATACCAGCGATATATTTATACATATTATTATTATTATCTATTAAATTCGTGTAAATTTCAGTACACATGACATTAACATCGACTGATAAGGTTTGTATATAACGTTGCATATGCGCAACTGATAAAGGTTTTTGTGTATATCGATAGGAAACGTTAAAGTTCAAGTTTTCGTATTTATTTCGAATTTGCCGCTGCAATTCGGATTGCTTAGGAATTATTATTATGTATGTATACATATCGCGCGGATTCCGTATCTTTATCGAAATTAGGTTAAAAACTATTTAATCAGCTTGTTTGCTCCGATAAAACGACGATGTTTTGAATAATATATATGTAGAATTTTCAATCGGTTTTCTAATGTTAAAATGTACCAATTATTTATTACGCACACAAATTTACGATTCATATAAATTTAGTGTAACGGGGAATGAATTTTGAAAATATTTATTTTACGCGCGTATACGATGCAAAAAATTCGAATAACTAATATTCCGATTGTGGTTGGTTGGAAAATTTTTTGGAGAAATCGAAATAACGCGTCAGTGCAGCCACCTTGATCTTGGGCGAAAACAAGTTCAGGGTTACACGTGTGGTGGATCCAGGAAGAGGTGGAAATATTTACAACGAAATTTAGATAGATATCTGTATACCTATATATATAGCAGATAAAATCAATTATATACTTGCGTATAATTAATATAGTAAGGAATTTTTAGAGGCAAAAAATTTTTTTTGTACAATATAAGGTGCTCTATAATTGCATGTTAATATTTAAGGGGGTGAATTTTGGACGCATTTAAGAAAAAAACTTCATATAAATATCTGTCCTAAAACCTAACATTTATTTTTATTTTTTTTTTTAATGCAAAACGATGAGTCGTACGAAAAAAAGTCAAGAAATCAAATTTGTTCTAAATTGAATGAGGATTACGAAAATAATTTTTATTTCAATATTAGGCAGTGGCGTACTATTTTTTTTTCCAAAAATATTCAATGCAAAACCCGTACGGACGCTACTGGTAAAAATAATAAAATTATTTGTACATCAGAAAATGCATCTTGATTCATACAGGACGTGTGTCAAATTTCATAAAGAAATCTACAATGGTTATTACAAAAAATTGATTTTTTTCTCAAAACTTTAACACCCTGTATCTCAAAAGTTAAGACGTTTAAGACATACATTCACATGAAGTTTTTTTCTTAAAACGAGCTCAAGAATCACCCTTTTAAATAATTAGCATGCCATTTCGGAACACCCCGTATAGGCAGCCATATCAAATCATTTTCAAAACTCAACAGGTGCGTAGAGGTGGGGGGCGACGGACTTTCGGCCCTCACTGTATACCAATTATTTCATTTAATTCTAATAATTACATCGCAGATGCACGCCGGAAAGCGATCCTCCATCAGGAAGTAACCTACTAGATATCGCATTTATAAAACTTTTTTCAAAGCCGACTAGATAATTAGAAATACAACAGAAAAATAAAAACACTACCCCCACCGCCACCCTTCTACTTTTATATCCCCGTTTCTCTCTCTCTCGCTCTACTCGGCGCGCCTAGCTCTCTCTCTCTCTCTCTCGCATACACTCCATCCCGTCGAAAAAGCGCGAACGAACTACCGTTTTGATCTCGGTAGGCGGCCGAGAGCCTGCATAGTCGTCGGCCTACTTTTTTACCTGTAACAATAATATAACGAACGTCGAGTGCCTAGCCGACGATCGGATCCGGCCGTTGTACTGTTTCTGTAGTACAACTCTTACCGTTAGCAAGTGAAGCTCGCCCGGAATCGGTCTCGGCCGGCCGTGGACAGATCGCCGCCTCCTTCGATTATTATTATGTATGTTTTCTAACGCTCTCGGATACTCACGTGTCGCGAATGTGACTGTATACAAGCATAGTTCGGGTATCGTTTTTTTTTTGGGGGATTTTTGGCGCTTAAAGTTTTTTTTTTTTTTGGGGATTTTTTATTATTTTTTTTTTTCGTATTTTTTGTGAATGGATACTAGCTGTGATCAATGGAAAAGGATGTTTTCTTTAGGTGAGATTCGATGCGTTTTTCGATTGGAAGTACGCAATTTGTTGTTTGTTTGATTAAAATGCGGCGCATTTTTTTTTTTTGCGCGTCCGTATACAGGGTGTTGGTTAATAAGTGCGATATACTTCGGGGGGTGGTTCTGTGTGATGAAATAATGATGTTTTGGTATATAAAGATATGTTGGGAAATGATTCGTTTTAGAGATACGGGGTGTTAAAGTTTCTTTTTATATTTATTTATTTCTCTAAAACCAGACGGGATGTTCGAATGAAATTTGGTGGGTTTTGAGAGGTAACTATTACGCATTTTTTGATATAAAATTAAAAATTTTATGTTCATCATTGACGCGCGTACGGGTAATAATAATTTTTTTTTAAAGAAAAATATAATTTTGGTGCGCCGCTGAGGTATTTTTATTGAAAATTCAATTATGAATGAATTCCTCGTTTAATTTGTGACAAAAAAATTCTCTTGGGATTTTTTCGTACGGGCCGTTGTTTTCGAGTAAATAAATTAACAATGTTGACGTGTATTTTTCGTTTCCTCAATAGTGAAAAAATTTTAACTTTAATCTTTAATTTAGAATCACCCCCTGAAGTTTGTCGCAGTTATTAATTAACACCCTGTATAGGAAATAACTGCGTCCTGCTGGTTCGCAGGAAGTTCGTTTTTTAAATCGAATAAATTGGTGATTTTGGTGATTTTGGATTTTTAAATTGGTGAAAAACCTGGAAAATATTTTCACCGACTTTTTTCACCGCAATCCTCTACGACACATAGTTTCCCAGCTAACAGTACCTCGCAATATTAATTAGCCACCCTGTATATACAATCAAAACTCCAACAAATTGCAACTTTTCCTGATGCAGGACAGTATAAAAATATCCTTCAACAACGCATTTATAAACCCCTGCTAAATTCTCGCGTAGTTACCTCGCATCGCGCGCGGCCTCAAAAAAAAAACAACAATAACAAACAAAGTACGCAGTTTGCAGGAGTTTCTAAATTCCACAGGACATTTAGAACGGCTTCAATCGGCTCCTGCGGCACGCGGAAAGGCCGCTTTACAATCGAATTACTATAGTTTTTCAGGAAAAACAGCTTCTCTTTTGTTGCGACCCGGAGTGAATGTACTCCGTCCGAGGCCGGGCCGATCGGGGGCTTTAAAACGACCTCAACCGAACTTTGACACAAATATTAACCGCCGCCCGACCGCCCCCGACGATCGATCACTCTCTACACACCCCCAGCGGAACACTTCCTGCTTCGTTACACACTTGCATATACACATTTACTTCCTATATTATTCTTAGAGTATCTGTCAAAGGCACGGTCTTGTATTTCTAAGGTTTGGAATCTCCCTATGATTATTTGAGGACTTTTTTGAGATTCATTTTTGCGCCGCTAGATGGCGAACGATCGGAGGATCAGTTTATGTCAGCCAATCAGCGTCGCGCTAGATTATAAATCGCGGTTGTTGGTGAAACGACAGTTCGAGCTGTCAAAAGTGTCAAAAATAATTTTTTGACATTTCGAGGAGAAAATGGAGGAATAACTTAACCGAAGATACGCGAGGGATGATGTTTACAACAAAATCATCGCTGATTTAAGTATATTTTTTGACGGGTGACATTAAACTGTAGAGAATTCTTGTTCCTGGTTGAAATCATCATCTCCTGTTATATACGTAAACAAGTTCATAGCGCATGACTCACGCGAGTTATTGCAATTAACAATTAATGCTGCGTTATTGGTAAACAAAAGTGAACGTCGTTACCGATACGGATCTAAAAAGGAATTATTGTTAAGAGAGGAAGCAAAAAAAAAATAGGAGAAGAATGCCGATTCTTTCGGTTGTTATTGGATGGTAGATGATAAAGTGTTGTTTGTTTCTAGACGCTATAGAATAGAAGAATGAAAGGGAGAAGAAGAAGAGGTGATAGAAGAATGAAAGGGACTCGTTTTGTTTTTTTTACGCGTTAAATTTAATCAAAACCGCATCGACTCGAAATTTCTACATGTACAACGAAACGAAACGAAACGGCTTTCACTTTTTGCCGCTTACGTTTCGTAACAATGAGATCACTTTTGGCAATATCAAGGTTATGCCTGAACATTGACTTTGTCGATTTCGAAATCGAGACACCCATCGAACCAAAATGGTACTCGCACAGCCATCGCGATCGCGAGCGCTGACGAATTAATATACGAGGATGGAGGAGGAAGAGAAGAAGCGAGAACGGGCGTGGGCTATAAGAAAAAAATATTCAAAATGGCGCCTAACTGTCATTTTGAAAGTTTCAACTGTCATTTTTACTCCAACATAAACGACGGACTTTTGGTCCTCACTGTATAAATGACATTGTATCGATAGTATTACAATTTTTGTTTGATTCTCCGATTCCTCCATTCAACATCGCCACGACCCAATTACCACGAAGTCACAGTCGAGAAAGGGGATGTTTCCGATACAATTCCGAACGGTAATTATTCGGAAAATTCGCCATCCGTGTACTCTATATTAGCGGGGGATTTTATTCGAAACGACCCCGTTCGAACTTTGACACAGATTCGAATGCTTTACACTCGAACGGGTGGGGTGCAGTGTGTGCACCGTGCATTATATCCTATACGGAACAAGCATTATTTATGCATGTAGATAATAGTTTTTTTTTTTTTTTTGTGAAAAGCGCATTCGATAGACGTTAACCTAGATACTAAAAAAAAAATTACTAAATGTTATCGCGTTGTACTCGAATAAGCGGGGCTTTAAGATGCCTTCGATGATACATGGACAAAAACTGTCGAAATTGACATTAATGACGTTTCGTATGACAGAAGTTTAAGAGAGATGGGAAGCGATTTTTTTTTGGTATAAAGGTGCAGTAACGATTGTTATAAAATAAGCGTTATTTTTCATAAATTACTTTAATTCTACTCTGATTTTACTCTAATTCTACTGGTGAATCTACTCTAAATCTACTCCACTCTACTCTCCCCTATACGATAAATTATTATTATTTTGTCTAACACGAATAAGTGAGACTTTCGATGATACATAAACAAAAACTATCACAATTGACATTAATGACGTTTCGTATGACACGGGATTAGAGATGGGAATCATTTTTTTTGGTACAGGAACTGGAAAATAGGGAAAATTATTGCGAAAAAAAAAATTGCACGGACTTTTCGTAACTAAATAACGATCGTGCGAACGCAAATGGGGAAATTATAAAAAGCCTCTCGACTATAAGAGAAAAAGAAAGTACAAATCGTGCGGTAATGATTTTCTATTACCTATTTATTACATAACAAACAACGGAGTGTTCGTTTCCTAGTAATATAAATTGACGTCGACGTTGAATAGTGAAAGTTTGAATTAATAAAGACGATTAAAAAATATATATATATACAGAGTGCAACAAACGTATATAAATTGCATTATAAAATAAAACTTCCGCTCTGTATATAACAAACCGAAAATGAAGTTTATACATTTCTCCTTAAAATCACCCAAATATCGTACAAGAAAATATAAAACGAGTTCATAGTTTTGTGTTCAATGCAACACCATAATTACCAATTTACTCAATAATTAAGAGACTCGCAAACATATTTTACTTAAGAAAATTATAGATGAAAGTTTGATAAAATCTCCCATGTTTTCTATTTTGCAGGAATTATGACCCTAACGCGCACCCCGTGTGAGCTCGACAAGATGAGCCTCTTTCAAGATTTGAAGTTGAAACGAAGGAAAGTGGATTCGCGCTGCAGCAGCGACGGTAAGCACAATTAAAACAATTAATTGAATTAATTTCCCGACTGAAAAATCGCCCGTGGAAAACGTTTCTATATTAATGCATTTCGCGTCCTCGCGATAACGAATTTCGAATGACCTTACTCATTAGATTCGACGTTGTCCTGATAACGATGCCAGTCGAGCGCAATGTTTGCATTTCTATTTTTTTTTTCTTTTCGAAAAAAAATCATTTTTGTACGTTTCTAGGACGTTAAAATCGTGATAATGCACAATAGTTATTTATGTAATACGAGTGTTTACTTGTTCCGTACATAATAGTGGTTCTATTAATACCGAATTTGTAAGTTTTACTCGATAATTGTACAAATTCATTCAAATAGCAAGATTTATATATTTACTAAAAACAGATTATATTGTTTAAATTACACGAACAGAATAGGTCATTTCTTAGGAACATTCCTAACATAACAATATCATTACAAAATAACCCAATAACCAAATTGCTATTTACAAACCAAAATCGACCCGAATATAACGGAGAGGTCGAGTTGTCACCCGAATTCTAACCGGTCACTTCTTATGGGTCGAGTTGTCACCCGATAGGGGTCGAGTTGTCACCCGCTACCTGGGGTAGGTACGACAGGGTGCAATTAGGGTTTCGATTAATCCTACTACATACTAGTGCGTTCAAAAATCCTAAATATTTTTTGAACGTAACCAACGTTTGTTATTTTTTATTATTTAGGTAGATATATTAAATATTTTTTGATCTTTTGAACTAAGTTTCTTATTCGCTGCTAAAGTCAAAATGAAAATCCTTCGATCAACAATAGTTGTTTTCCTTTTTGACTGAATATTATAGAACTCATCTTTAACTTAGGTTAAACTGTTTCACTCACGCAATGCAAATACCTAATAACTAACAAATTTGTTGGATAGGCACTATCAGTACAGATATTCGGAATAACCCAAAGGTACTTTAAAATATCTAACCGTTTATTTATAATTAAATCATAATAAGATTCGGATTTTCCAAACTATCCGTTTTGGCAAGCATAATAAAAGCACCGTTTCTCTAGGGTTTTTCTAAAATTACGTAACGTTTTATTAGTTTCCTATTAAAAGCTCCAATCTATCATGAAGGGTGGCATAAAATTTTTGAAATATTGTTTCATTTACAGAATGTGTACTGTGTTGGGTTAAATTTGGCTTGAAATTATCCATAACAATTTTTTTGTTTAGTTATACCTTTGGCACTATACAGAATCGATTGAACATTCAAAAACTATGGAAGTGATTGAGAAAATTAAAAATATCTCCAAATACACCTAACCGAAATCCTAAACCCAACATTAATATGCAATTAGACCCTTATAATCCGCACCGAACGGATAACAATAGACGGGTGACAACTCGGACATGACCTTTTTTCCCACAGGTAAAATTTTGAAATTTGGGTGACAACTCGGACCTGTCCGAATATAATTCTTTCTTTTTCATTTAAACCGGACTACTGGAAGTTGTCTTTGTTGCATCCATACACACCATATTGCATACAAATTTACACTTATCTGTATAAAAAGTTCATCATCTAATCAACAAATCAAAAACGAAATAACTTTTTTTCTTTCTATAATAATATTAACCCGCTGCGCATAAACAAAATCCGTTATAAATCGATCGCAGCGTCCGTGAATGGGATTTTATGCATTTTCCTTATATTTTTTCCGCATATTTTATTTCCCAGGATGCCGTTTAATTAACAAAACTGCGAGCTCGTTGTATTATTAAAAAGCCGAGTTGAAGTAAAACGAAACGAGTAAGGTTATTTATTTGTAGACACAAGTAGGGATACAAGGTAATCGTAGATGTGAGGGTCGACAGTATTTAAACAATTTTCGCATTGCAACAAACATCGATTCGTATCGATTTCTAATGCATTACATCGAAATTATATTATGTTAAACGAATAAGCTGTTTTATTCTATACGAGGCGCCGGAATACATTTTTTCTATAGACACTCAAAAATGTTTTGTATAAGGTAGACTGGGAGAAAATTTGAATAGTTCAAATTAAATCCTAAAAATGTGGTTTTATTTTTTCTCTTATTAGAAATGCTGATACCACATTAAATTCACAACTTCCTAAAACTGTCTAATGCACAAAAGAACTATAAAAATAATAAAAAACATTAACATAATAGGTAAAAATATTACATTTACCCCATAATTTTTTACATTTGCCCCAGTCTACCTTATGTTATGTATGAAGTTGAAATGCCACTGGCTATTTATTATTTGATTAAATTGTTTTTGTCATATTATGATTTCTCGTGCATTGAAATACCTGTCTTTTTCATTTTCAATATTTTACTAAAGCTAGTTGGGTCAGATCGTAATATTTTGATTCGCAGAATCTTCCCCTTCACTTTTGGACTATTACTTACAAACCACCCTGTATAGACACTCTCAAAAATGTTTTGCATAAAATAATAAAGATTTAATACAACGAATTATTTGTATAAAATTACTCATCAAAATTAGTTTCCAAAATGCATAAAAATCATTTAAAATTAACAATAAAAACAATTCAATAAAAGACATTTTAAATAATAAATAGGCAGTGGCATTCATTGATAATTCGGCTGTAAATAATTCCAAGTAGATTCAAACGAATCGTCGAACAAAAATCAAATAAAAAATAAAAAAAAACACAAAAATCGATTTATTATAAAATTTTAAAACCCCAAAGCATCAGCACAATTTGCTTCTAGGTAATGTCTCTATCCGCTTCTAGGCGAATCCGTCGCCGATACGAGCACCTCGTCGCCCGATCTCCTCAGCCCATCGTCGCCCAAAATGCCCGACGCCGTTTCGTGCCCGTGCCCGTGCCCGCCCAGTCCGGATTCGACGCCCGGCGTCGGCGGCGTCGGCGTCGCCGTCGCCCATCTACACCACCACCAGCCCGAACCTACGCACGACAAAATGCCCAGCCGTCTCGAGGAATCCGGCGTTTTCGACGGCGGCGGCGGCGGCGGCGGCACCGCCAGCGTCATCAGGTAATTTATTAATTATTAGTACAGTTAGTACTAATTATTATTAATTAGTAGTACAGTAATTATCAGTACAGAGTCTTCATAAATAGTTGATTCTGGTGTGGACGAATTTGTAAATGAACGTAGTAAATTTGTTATGTTTGTGTTGGTATCCGAAAAATAAGTTACTAGATTACTGTCATTTTAATGTCAAAGTCAACTCGATGAAATGTCGGTGGAAATAACGGTGTTTTATTTATTTTTTTTCCTAGTTTTTCCTGTGCTTTACCCAAAGAAAACTGGTGTATCAACCTAACCTTAAATTAATGATAGGTATAAATAATAAAGAACCTAGTGGATTAATATTCTTACGCCACTGTGTTGATTTGTATTCAAAATAGGGACATTTCTTGAAAATAATAACAACTATGCACTTTTGGTTGCATAAATTTCACGCGGAAATCAATCATTTATGAAGACACTCATAGCCTCTGTTTAATATTATAGTGATTCTAAAGTCGCGTCTCGAGTCCCTGGTTACTCCATAACAACCAATGTAAATCTGTCAATTGGAAAGAATGCGTCCTTAGTTACTCCATAACAACCAATGTAAATCTGTCAATTTGAAATAATGCGTCCTTAGTTACTCCATAACAACCAATGTAAATCTGTCAAATGTGAAAGAATGCGTCCTTAGTTACTCCATAACAACCAATGTAAATCTGTCAATTTGAAAGAATGCGTCCTTAGTTACTCCATAACAACCAATGTAAAACTGTCAATTTGAAACAAATCTTCTTAGTTACTCCATAACAACAATGTAAAACTGTCAAATGTGAAACAATGCGTCCTTAGTTACTCCATAACAACCAATGTAAAACTGTCAATTTGAAATAATCTTCTTAGTTACTCCATAACAACCAATGTAAATCTGTCAATTTGAAAGAATGCGTCCTTAGTTACTCCATAACAACCAATGTAAAACTGTCAATTTGAAACAAATCTTCTTAGTTACTCCATAACAACAATGTAAAACTGTCAAATGTGAAACAATGCGTCCTTAGTTACTCCATAACAACCAATGTAAATCTGTCAATTTGAAACAATGCGTCCTTAGTTACTCCATAACAACCAATGTAAATCTGTCACAAGAGCCACTCGAAAGATAAACAGTGGCGCCGAACACGAAACCACGCAATCGGTTTATATAAATTTAAATTTTTCCCTTTGCAGATCCCTACCGGCGATGATGCGATCGCAAAGCCCGCCGACGCGACCGGCGCCGCCGTTCAGCCCGTCCCACCAACCGCCGCGACCGCACAGTTCGCCCGGGCGACCGGCGAACGCGAGCCCGCGCGCCAGCCCCGTCATCCGGCACGCGCCGCTCCTCCTCGTCCAACCCGCCTCTAGTCCGACGCCACCCAAAACGACGCCACCGCCGCCCAAACAGGAACCCACGTCGTCGGTGGCGCCACTGCCACTATCGCCCAACCACCACCACCACCAATCCCGCGTGGTGATCATCAACCAACAATCCAACCTCATCAATTTGAACGTCAACCAACCGCCGCCTCCGCACCAACAATCGTGGTTGAAAAACTCCCGCATCAACGGCGTCAAACCGGAGTTGATCGGCGGCAATTTCCCCGACATCAAACCGCCTTGTAGTCCGTCGGGCGTCAGGACGCCCGCCCGCCAAGCGCCCACCGTCATAATGGGCGAAGCGGGCGGCGTGCGTACGATGATCTGGTCGCAACCGACCGCCGCCGCCGCCCTCGAACCGCCCCCGACCACCTCCAACTGGCCGCCGGCGGCCGGGCCCGACGAGAGCGCCGCGCAGCTGTTGCTCAACTTGGGCCAAGACCGCCTACGAGCGGCGGCGCAGCGACCGCCGACGCCCGCCTCCCAGTACGCCGGCGCGCCGCTCAACATGGAGCGGCTGTGGGCGGGCGACGCGCGCCAACTGCCCGCCGCCAATCAAACGCAGGCGCTCAACCTCAGCTATCCGCCCGTCTACGAGCCCAAGACACCTGCGGGGGTGGGAGCGGGGGCGGCGCCCGGCGGCGGCGAGTCGATGCAGGTGGAGTCGCACGACGTCCAGGAGGAGGAGGACCAGCCGATGATTTGCATGATATGCGAGGACAAGGCGACAGGGTTGCATTACGGTATCATCACCTGCGAGGGTTGCAAGGGGTTCTTCAAGAGGACGGTGCAGAACAGGAGGGTGTACACGTGCGTGGCCGACGGGAATTGCGAGATTACCAAAGCGCAGCGGAACAGGTGCCAGTATTGCAGGTTCAAGAAGTGCATCGAACAGGGTATGGTGTTGCAAGGTACGTGCAAAATCGTTTAAAACTCAATCTCGCGCTCTTAGAAATAGTTCAAAGCGCCCTCTATCGCCTAGTTTAATGGCCGCCGCTTCGAGAGTGCGTTGTAACATCTGGCAACATCGCTCGATATGGCCAATCAAATGCGAAACTAGCGTGGAGTAGTTAGCAATGTTGCCACAGCTGTACAATGGTAGAGGGCGCGTTAAACAAGGAACTATTAAAGTCCCTAAAGTCCGCCATGTTTGGAATTTTTTAAGCGGCAAATTCAAATATTGCCGAAAATTTATTGAACACATTGTATAAACACGTTACAATATTAACCAATAAACCAACACAACGGAAATGTTGGGTAAAAATTTAGGTTAAATGCAAGCGTTTGAAAGATTTTCGTTTACTTCTGTCAAAAACATTGTCAAACGGCAGCCATGTTTGAGATTTTGATAGCCATCTCTTTCTATCTTATAGGCCTAATTGATTGCGCTACTTATTATAGTACCTATAGGGACTTTAGGAACTATTTATTGGAACTATCTATATTCATTCTATTCTATTATTCTATTCGCAGCGGTAAGAGAGGACCGGATGCCGGGCGGTAGAAACAGCGGCGCCGTCTACAATTTGTACAAAGTGAAATACAAGAAACACAAAAAGGCTTCGACGAAGCAACAACAAACGAAGCCGCTGGGCGGTCACCAGCACCAGTTCAAGCAAGAGCAGCAATTCAAGCAGGAGCAGCAATTCAAGCAGGAACAACCGCACAGTATTCCCTCCAACCTAGTCAACGGGACTATCCTGAAGACGGCCCTGACCAATCCGAGCGAAGTCATCCGCCTCCGACAGAGGTCAGATCATCCGTAAGATCATACTAATCCCTGCTTTGACGTGACGTCACGCGCTCTATATACGTCATCGCTCGATTCTACTTCAACTATATGGCTTGACAGTTGAAAATTTGTTTTAGACGCGAAAAGAAGAGAGATGAAGGTTGTTAGAGAAAGACTTTCGTGTCGTCTTCTCTCTAAATTTTGCTATTCAAATATTCCAATTGCCAAGCTACATTCAGTGAGGTATATTGAATGATGATATTCCAAAAATGTATAGTGACTTTGTAACGTTTTCATTCACCTCTATTATAGTTATTTTTTTCGCAAATCTCGTTTTTTGACAAGTTATAGCGCTTATTTAATCTACCTACCTAATACAGTGATTTTGTAACGTTTTCTACCGCCTCTATTATAGTTATCTTTTCTTATATAAATCTGATTTTTCGACATGTTATAGTTTTCTTCCACCTCTTCAACAGCTACTTTTTATAACAGTACAAACATTGTACCTCCTGATAGCGAACGGACTATAAAATTAAAAAAAAAAGACAAGATACGAAAAGATACAATAATTCTAAATAGCCTGTAAATATTCGTAGGTTAGACAGCGCCGTGAGCAGTTCCAGGGACAGAAACTTCTCCGTCGAATACTCCCTGTCGATGATCAAAACCCTGATCGATTGCGACGAGTTCCAGGACATCGCGACGTTACAGAACCTCGACGAATTGCTCGATCACAACACCGATTTGAGCGAGAAACTGTGCAACATCGGCGATTCGATCGTGTACAAATTGGTGCAATGGACTAAACGGTTACCGTTCTATTTGGAATTGCCCGTCGAAGTGCATACGCGATTGCTCACCCACAAGTGGCACGAGCTTTTGGTGCTGACTACCTCCGCCTATCAGGCCATACACAAGGCCTCCGAACAGATGACGGCTTTGTTGGAGACCGATTTTACCCAGGAGGTACCTACAGGTTTAGAATCGTTTAGAATGCTCCAGAATCATTTAACACTGTCTAGAATCGTTTAGAAGGCTCCAGAATGATGTATAACTGTTTAGAATCATTGAGAATGCTCCAGAATCATTTAACAGTGTCTAGAATGATTAAGAAAGCTCTAGAATCATTTAACACTATCTAGAATCATTTAGAACGCTCCAGAATAATTATTTATAACTGTTTAAAATTATTTAGAATGCTTCAGAATCATTTAACACTGTCTAGAATCATTTAGAAGGCTCCAGAATGATGTATAACTGTTTAGAATTATTGAGAATGCTCCATAATCATTTAACAGTGTCTAGAATGATTAAGAAAGCTTCAGAATCATTTAACAATGTCTAGAATGATTAAGAATGCTCCAGAATCATTATTTATAACTGTTTAAAATCATTTAGAATGTTCCAGAATCGTTTAACACTGTCTAGAATCGTTTAGAAGGCTCCAGAATGATGTATAACAGTCTAGAATCATTGAGAATGCTCCAAAATCATTTTACACTGTCCAGAATCATTTAGAATGCTCCAACATCATTTATAAATGTTTAGAATTATTGAGAATGCTCCATAATCATTTAACAGTGTCTAGAATGATTAAGAAAGCTCCAGAATCATTTAACACTGTCTAGAATGATTAAGAATGCTCCAGAATCATTATTTATAACTGTTTAAAATCATTTAGAATGTTCCAGAATCGTTTAACACTGTCTAGAATCGTTTAGAAGGCTCCAGAATGATGTATAACTGTCTAGAATCATTGAGAATGCTCCAGAATCATTTAACACTGTCCAGAATCGTTTAGAATGCTCCAGAATCATTTTACACTGTTCAGAATCATTTAGAATGCTCCAACATCATTTATAACTGTTTAGAATTATTGAGAATGCTCCAGAATCATTTAACACTGTCTACATTTAGTCGAACATTTAAGGAATTGATTCGATTCGATTGGTTGCAGGTGGAAACGAACCTGTGCACCCTCCAGAACTGCCTGATATCGATGATGGGCAGGGAGATCACGATCGAGCAACTCCGCCAGGACGTCGGTCTGATGATCGAACGGATCACGCACGTCACGTTGATGTTCAGACAGATCAAATTGACGATGGAAGAGTACGTGTGCCTTAAAGTTATCACTATGTTAAATCAAGGTAATAGAAAACGTTTTTAATCGATTCAATTCGACCGATTTTAATGGCGATTTTTGTTGAGTTACAGCGAAACCTGCCAGTAGTTCGGGACCCAGCGATTTGGAGACCATCCACGAGAGATACATGACCTGTTTGCGGGTCTACACGCAGCACATGTACCCTCAGCAAACGACTAGATTCCAGGATTTGCTAGTTAGGTTACCCGAGGTAATTACATTCGATCCTTATCCGGTTTAATTGCGGGAGGGTTTTCGCTGTTTAATCGCTGTTTAAGCGCTGTTTAATCTACGAATTGAACGTAATGATGACAACGTAAAAGGCCACATAGAAACACCTTTAACGGATTCACCAATATCTGTTAAATAGCTAACAGAGAGATGAGTTTTTATCAATCTGTTAACGTTATAATTTGGTATTCACCAATGTCGGTTAATATTTAACAGTCGGATAAAATTAGCAGAGCAAAATCGAACTGATAAAAGAAGTAAGAGACTGATAATTTCAATACAAATGTCGAAATTGAGGTTTTTTCTTCGACATGCCATTCTACATTGACATTATTGACATTGACAGTAACTTTATTGACAGTAAATTTTATCAAAATAACAGTTAGCAGGTCGATAAGCGGAAATTGGTGAATGTGGCCTTAAATTTAGACCTATTTTTGTTGTTATTTATATGGAATTATATTTATGGTAAATTTCAGATCCAATCGGCGGCGTCCCTTCTGCTCGAAAGCAAAATGTTCTACGTTCCTTTCCTGCTGAATTCGGCGATTCAGAGGTAGTACCAAAAACACGACCCTTTATAGATGAATTTACCCCAACCCCCCAACCCCTCACTCGCAGCCTCCTCTGAGTTATTGTAAATAGAGGAATAATCCGTTGGGCGATGCGCGTGCGCGGTACCGATTTGTCGACGACGAGTACTGTAAATTAATGTCCGAAACGTTTTTTACGCGTCGATTTACGCTCAGAGAATCACAGACTGATTTGCTGCTGCTGATGATGATGATGATGATGATGATGATGAATTTTTTTTTGTTTCCGTCGCTTTCGCTGAGCCTAAATCCCCCCTATCGAGAGCATAAAACGAAAAATGTTTACTGGAAATTTGGCTTTACTAGGAAATTTTCGTTTCCTAAATTCGCCGTTGGTAATAATGTAGTGCGCTGTTGCCGAGTATTTGTCGTTTTATTTGATTTAAGGAAAAGTTAAAAATGTTAATTCCATTAAAAGTAATTGAAAATTATTTGTATAAGCAATCTAATATAACACAAATTGACACAGTAACATTTGGCAACAGCGCTATCGAAACGAATACACGATTCGTTTAATGTGCAGAAGAAGTTGCGCATTCGTCAAAGTACATTAAAATTGGAATGCGAATGATTGGAATAAAAGTTTATGCACTTCTCAAGGCCGTTTCCTGTTTGTTGTCTAACCGGAGGTTTTTTTTTTATTAATAAATTACGCGTTGACCTAGGCTGCAGTTTATTCATTTCATTGTGAAATATACAGGGAAAATTTTGTGTATTCGTTTTTCGTATTATGCTCGATTTACAACCGAAAATAAATACATGTACATGTTATATACAGTAAGAGAAAAAAATAAATGGAAATATTGTGTACGGAGATGCCGCTACATAAGTCTGAATCAGTTGCCTTCTAATTGTGGTAAAGAGCGAACGGTTCGATTTTCGATCGATCGCCGATAATCCTTTTTTGAAACCATTTTTTAATTCTTATTCCTTTTTATAAACGTTTACACCGTTTTTTTCTACGTTTTACATCACGCCTAGACTTTATTGTAGTACGTAAGGTTTTACTTTTAACTGCCATTTTTTATTAGCTCGAAAACAAGACTCTTTTTTTTATTGTTCGAGAACTATTCGAATTTTTATTTTATACAGGGTGTTAATTATTTAAAATCGTCCAAATATTCACATCCTGAAGTATCGGCACTTAATTAAATAACATCCTGTATTTGTTTGTTTTTTTTTTTATTAGATGTTATTATATTTGGTAATAATTTCAAAGCAGGAGTATCTAAATTCTTCTATCTTCCACTCTTCTCTTTATTACTTTCTTCTATTACTACCATTTTCTTACGTACTAAATATTCTGTATAATAAATTCTAAATACTCCTGTTTTTTTTTTAAATAATTAATTGTAATAAGAAAACACTTAACCAGCTGTACACTGCCAAGAGTACTATCGATCTAGTTTTAATCATAAACTAGCAAGTACCGTTCGTGTCAATTTAGGATTAAAAAAACATACTTATTTGAGTAATTGATTACTGCCCAAAGACTCTAAATTTACGCGTAATTGTGATTTTTATTTTGTTGTTGTTAGACGAGGCGGTAAATTTAGTAATTTTATATATCACTTAAATGTATGGAAATGTAAATACCTCGATGAAAACTGCCCTTTGTATTTCGTTATTATTATTATTTTCCTCGTATTCTCGTCAAAATATGGCGTGGCGATTGATCGAAAACGCGATTTCGCTCGGATTACTTCACGAAAATATCTTATATATTTACATTAGATATTATATGAAATAAATGTATCTATGAGATAAATGAAAATGTAAGAGTACTATTATAGGGACACTGGTTGTTTTTAATTGTAATATATCGAAGTGTGTGTGTGTGTGGAGTTACCAACTGTTTTAAATACGGCAAAACAGAAAAAAAATCTAATGTTAGTTTATCGTGGGCACTTTGAGAGTTTAAAATGGATCAAATTTTATCACTCGATTTTTCCAGTGTCCTTGTAATAGCGCCGAGAAAAATTATGTAATGACTGCCAATTTTGTACGTAAGTTACCAGTGCAACCAAGTATGTGTACAAATTCGTCGTTCCTTTTTTTTTTATTTTGAAACTATTACTCTTTTTCACGTGTACATTATGGAAGATATACAATTTGTTTATATTTATTTTGAGTAACAGTATATGTTTTTGTACAAAAAGAAAAATTTTATAGTTGTACTTACTAGTTTTGCGCGCCGGCTAAATCCGTTTCTTTTTATTATAAAATAATTGTTTCGGTTATTTCGAAGGAGATTCGCATTTGAAATGGTCCGAATGCGACGCGCCTAATCTGACACGAAAACTGTTTTTACGACAGCGATGTCATTAAAAATCTTTTTTAAGAAAATTTGTATATAATATTAATATATTTAGTAGGTATATAGGTAATTGAATTTTGTGTTGGATTATTATCTATATAAATTCGTTACGTTGCGATTTTAAAAGTTAAATTTCCGGATTCTATTTTTATGCATCTTTAGAGTATTCGGACCGTAAAAATGGCCTTTAAGTGATATACACATATATATATTATACACGACGGATTTAGTTGTACGCGTAAATATATATAGAGAAAAGAAATCTATGATTACCTGATGTATCGTACATCGCCTTGAGTTACCGTTATTTCTGTTAATTAACATAAGGTTATCTGAGCTTGTTTATTAGAAAATAAAACAAATTATTATTATAATTCAGCGTACAATACTTTACAATACTTTTATATATTCGTTCATTCATTCCTTCATTCGTTCATTTATTCATCCGGATTTTTAGTGTCGATTTCGGGAGTTTTTGGGTATTTTCTCGAAAAGTGACGCATACGATTTTTTGAAACTCTTAAAATATACTTCAATGTATTACTAATTACTTCTCGCAAACCGCGTTTCATTCAATTTTCAGCGAAATTATGGGAAAAAGAAATAAAAGTAAACTATATACGAGTAATCAAAAATGTTCCTTGAATATAGGCAATACACTTGACATGTCATATGTCACTTGTGTCAAGTTGTGTTGCCTATCAGTAAATGTAAATATACGAAAAAAAACAACGATTTTTATTGGAAATTGTAAGATAAATTATTTGGTCGTTGACTCATTAACTTTCGATTTCGTGAATGAAATAAGTAGGTACAAAAGGTAAGTTTATTTTTATTAACGTCGTAGCATAGCATGCTTTGATTGAAAAAGATGGGTATTTTTAGCTCGAAAATGGTAGATTTATCGTCACCTAAGGCGCAAGAAATATACGCCCTCATTAAGGAGAACAAAATAGTTATATTCTCCAAAACGTACTGTCCATATTGCGATCTAGCTAAAGAGGTTAGTTTCAATGATATCTTCTTACTAGTTCATTTACTAATCGAAATTCATTTCGCAGTGCTTCGATAAGATCGGTGTACCATATTTAGCAGTTGAATTGAATAAAAGGGGCGACGGAAACGAAGTGCAGAGCATCCTGAGCCAGATGACCGGAGCCCGAACGGTAAGTTTATTTACAAACGCTTGCTAGATTCGCAGGTTTATTTACATAACAATCGATTGTTTTTATCAAAGGTGCCTAGAGTGTTTGTTAAGGAAAAATGTATCGGAGGAGGCACTGACGTGGAATCTCTACTGCATTCGGGGGAACTGGCCAAAATTGTCGCTTAACATGGTAATTTAGGAGTAAGAAATAATATATATTTATTATAGATTGTTAAACTAATTTACAAGTTTTTCGCAATCTTCTAATGAGTTGCGTAGTTCCGATAATATTTAATTGCTTTTATTAAACTCATTGTTCGTAAATAGTTTGTTGATATTACCGCATACTTAAAAAAAATACCATTCCCTTTTTTAACCGTCAATAGATACTAACCACGTAATCCTCACTTTGTATTAGTGATTATTAGTGTAGAGTTAGAGTTGGCTGTTTGTCAAACTAGTCATAACCTCAAATACCTTGCGAATTGACGAAAATAGTCCAAAGGTAACCGCGTTCAGGTGATAGTGTCTGTGTAAAAAAAAAATGGATATTCCGTACGGGAAAATACTCGTGTACGTTCTAACGTTCATGGGATACATTTACAGCGGTTACGGTTCCGGATTTTTGAATAATCTCCGAGACGCCGTGCTCACGGCGGAAACGGTTTTCGGGGATGTTTTCCATAATTTCGTCAACGTCGCCAAGAAATTTCGAACGATGTCCGACGTATTCGACGCCGCCGTCGAGGAGGATTGCATTTTCAAATGTCCCAACAGTAAGTGTAAATAAATAATAAAAATTATTTAGTTCAGAGGCGACGATAAGGCGGTGGCTGGACGAGCCTTTACGTCAGAGGCCATCGAAATACGATTAATTAGTCCCTGTAGTCGATCGTAAATGTTATTTGTTTAATCCGTTTTTATGCGTTTATTAGTTATTAATAGCTTGTAAAGATAAATTAATTTATGGATTTGTAATATTTATAAAAAAACTGACAGTTGGACGTTTGACAATCTTCTTTTTTGTTAACTAAGTTTGTTTCAAATGTGAATGCGCTTATGGGGTTATGTTGATTTAAATTTCACAAATTCGTTGATAAACAAAAGGGCGAAATAGGTTTAATTACTCAAATATTGAGCAATTGTAACAAACAATAGTTATTTTTATAATGGAAGTTTCTTGACAGGTGACAGGTTTTATTGGCCTTTTACCATACAGTCATGTTGTGCATCTTCTTCTTCTTCTCCTTTGGCCTCCTGTCTAATGACATACAGCCAGTTGTTGTGCATCTAGTTGACACATAATTACAGATCGTGTATATAAAAAAAGAAGAAAAACTAAATAATCAGCTGAGTGTCAATTGACTTGACATTCTCGTTTCGTACAAATCCCAATTTTTATGAAGTAATCGCCAATGTTATAACAAACAGCACTTTTTATCGATAATATTAGTGTAATCGGGTAGTAGTCTTGCGTAACAAGGACGTGTGGTGGTATTCGCGTCATGACAAGTAACAGTTCGTAGTGAAATAAGTGAAATCCTTTGCAACAAAACCAACATGATATCGAGCAGACCTGTTGTGAGCGCGTTCGCCAAGAAATGGTCGAATTCGATTCGTCTAAGGACCTATTTCAGCGCGACCAGTTTGCGTAAGGAGCCCGCCAGAAAGACGTCGTTCAATTTCGACCATTACGATTGCATCGGATTCGATTTGGACAACACCCTGGCCCGCTACAAAATCGGCAACATGTTGGAGATGGAGTACAAAATAGTGGCGAATTATCTGATTAAGCAAAAAAACTACCCCGACGAGCTGCTATCGAAACCGATCGATCCGAATTTCTTCATTAAAGGTCTGATCGTAGACGATCACAACGGCAATTTAATACGAATAGCCTCCGACGGTACGATACTACAAGCAATGCACGGTACTAAATTGTTATCAGATGAAGAATTGCTGGAGTACTATCCGAATCGACATTGGGAGGCCACCGATATGTTCGTTAAAGATCCTTTACAGACTTGGAACGGTCCCGTATCCGATGTAATGAGAACCTTATTAGACTATTTCGATATAGTAGTGAGTTTAGCTTTCGCCCGAGCGGTCGATACAGTAGACAAACACCAAGGCGGTAAAAAAGCCTACGACATTTGGCCTACTTTATTCGACGCTTTGATGTACATGTTCAACCGTTCGCATTTCGAAGACAACATGGGCGAGTACTTCCCCGAAATGAAACGCCACCCGCAGCGCTACTACCACAAATGCAGCGACAACGTGCGGAATTGGCTGCGCGACCTGAACAGTCGCAACAAAAAGTTGTTTTTGATCACCGGCGCGCACGCCGACTTCGCAAATCACACGGCTTCGAACACCATCGGACCCGATTGGAGGGAGTTCTTCGACATCGTCGTCTCCTACGCGAAGAAACCCGGCTTTTTCACGCAACGCCGCGACTTCGTGGCGCTCGACGGGCGATTCAAAGAGCTCGGTCCCGTGCGAACGGAGGATCTCCGACGGGGCGGTATGTACACCTACGGGAATTGGAACGGTTTGAGGGAGTTTCTGTCGATGTTGAGCGACAAATCGAATCCTAAGTTTCTGTATGTAGGAGATAATTTGATACAGGATATCTACGTTCCGCACGTACACACCGAGTGCGATACTGTGAACGTTTGCGAGGAAATCGAAGCGGAAAGTACGTTGGGGTTCGTCGATCGGTCGCATCCCGACAAGCATTTTTTATCGTCGACGATTTGGGGTTCGTATTTCTATTGCAAGGATTCGGAGAAGACGAGCGTTTGGTACGATTTGATGAAGAGGCATTCGCTCATGTGCGTTCCGAGCGTCGAGTATGTGGCTAAGCATCCCGTGGATTATCGATTCGAATCGTTGGGTTGATTTTTGAACGGCTGTGATTTGAGGTATGTTTAAATTCGATTATCGCGCGTGTTTAATGTTTGAAATTTGTGTCCGATTGTTTTAGCTTAAGCTTGAAATTCTTTGTGTAAATAGGCACGTGATAATGTGTTTTGTCGAGCGGACGAATTTTGAACTTTAAGCAAGCGCGTAGTTGAATGTAAATGTACCTTTAGTCTATTAAGCTAATATTTGTGTAATTAGGCTAGATTGTATACGATGTAAGAGTAGCGTACGTGTATTGTTTATTTTATTCGTACCTGCCCGGGATGGAAATTGAATAAGTACTTATTCAGTAGGTTTCGTTTCTTAGATTATAAGTAAACATATTTGCGTCCTGTTAATTCGTGTTTTTTTCTTCTGTTAGTTTTAATTAGTTGATTTAAAAGTTCAAATATTTTTTTAATTTGTTAACAATATATTATAGTTTGATTGAATTTATAGAGGATTTAACTAATTTACGAGCTATTTGTGTTCTAATAGTATTATGTATGTTGTACAATGTATCCAAAGATCAAAAGTTGCCAATTTTGTTTTTCATAAAGTAATAAACTTGTAAAACTGTTGTATTTTCGGAATTACATAAATTTCCGTGTAAATATACTCGACATCAATTAATTGATTTTTTTATTTCGAAACCAACAATTGTTATTACTTGCAAAAAGCGTGTACGAGTCTAGCTATAGACAAAATATAAGTTTAATAAAACTTTCTTTACGATTAACTGTTAAATTATGAAAAACGTGTATTCTATGTTGCCTAACTATTAGGTTACCTCAATAGAATTTCGTTACAATTAAGTTGGCAACCATTATGCATTTGACATTTTTGACACTTGACGTCTATAAGTCAAAACACCACCATTTTACCAAATTCAAATTTAAATTAGAGAAATTCTATAGTTTAATGCCTAATTGAGCCTACAGATCCTACCAAATCAGTTAAACACATAACTTAACACCATTTAAGTAGTATATAATAACGTAATTATCTTCGTAGATGAAGAACCGAGACCCAACAGAAACCACATACCGACAGCGGACGGTTGCGGCTCCCTCGGCGTGAAAATCGACTCGAACTACCTCCCGGTGGGCGAAATGACGAAATGCTGCGACGAGCACGACATTTGCTACGACACTTGCAGGAAAAATAAGGAAATTTGCGACGTGGAATTCAAGAGGTGCTTGTACAAGTACTGCGACGGCTACGAAGGCTCCGTCGCCTCCGGTACCATCGTCAAAGGTACGTACTCGATTTATTTGTATTTACGAGCGTTCAGAGAGTGATATTTCCGGTGGTTTTCAGCTTGTAAAGGGGCGGCGAAGATGTTATTCACTGGTACTTTAACGCTCGGTTGCAGGGCTTACTTGGACGCCCAATCGCAGGCTTGTTATTGCCCTTCGAGCGGCAGGAAAAATGCCAGGAAGAAATATACGCAAGGAGATGAATTTTAATTTATTTATTATCGATTATCGATAGGTGTATCGCGTTGTGTGTGTGTTTTTTTTTTAATTTGTTATTAATTCCATATAGAGTGGGTGTTTGAAAGAAAAGTGCAGTTTAATTTACCGTCCTGTATGATCTATTTATTAGTTGCTATTTTAATTAACGCATGCTCTTCGATGCTCGATTTTTTTTATCTCGTCTATTTTAAGAACTTTTTTTAGCGCAAAAAAATAAGTACTCGAAACGCATCGTACGGTGCTCTACGTTATAATAATTAACCGCCAACCGGGTGAGTACGCAATCGAATAATTATAGATTCTACGAAAAATTTATTTTTATTGTAGATTATCGAGTGGAAAAATAACATGTCCGAGGAAACGGGCGCTTGCGAAGTGTGCGATATCCAATCGAAAAGGAAATGCTCGTCGTGCAAATTGGTATTTTACTGCAGCCAGGAACACCAGCAGGCCGATTGGAAAGAGCACAAATCCATTTGCAAACCCTTTGTGGTACGAAGATACTGTTCTATTCTACTCTACGTTACTCTACACTACTTTGTTCTATTCTACTCTAATTAATCCACACACTACTCTAGTCTATTCTACACTGCTCTACATTATTCTCCTCTAATCTATATTACACTACTGTACTCTACATTACTCTACACAACTTTACTGTACTCTACTCTACTATTTACTGTAGTTTAAGTGAATCGCGAGTAATAGTAAAGTAAATTGTTTCAGGAAGACTATTCGAAAGACATTGGTAGACATCTGAAGGCGACTAGAGCTTTGAAACCGGGCGATGTGATCTTCTCCGAAGCTCCTCTGGTGTTTGGCCCGAAGCCTCATCGAATAGAAGCCGGAGCATTTCCGTGCGTCGGATGTTGCAGGTACGTTTTCGCGATTAATCGATCGATTAATATAATTAATCCGCGATTACTTGTCGGTTGTTTTAGATTGCTCGAAGATCAATCGTGCGAAAGATGCCCAGGGTGTTTGTGGCCGGTGTGCAACGCGAAATGCTCCGGTTTAAATACGCCCGATCGGCACGGATTCGAGTGCCAGATTTTGCGTTTGAGACCTTCCACCGAGTTGACTTCGTTTTATCAATTTTACAGGTATAATAAATACACTTACGAATCGTTTATACTCTAGTTAGAGGCAGTGTTGTTAAAATTATACATAGTTAAATACATTAAAAGTAGTTGAACTACATTTTTAACTACTTGTAGTTAACTACTTAACAACACTGATTAGAGGTATACATTATAGTAAGAATTAATGTTATTAGATTCGACGTGTTGATCGTATTAAGAGCGATGTACCTTCAAAAAGCCAATCCGAAGAAATGGGATGTTATCAGCAAGTTGGAGGATCATTACGAATGCAGAGGACCCGGTACGGAGGTGTACAAGTAAACCGAATAAATTTTCCCAAAACCAACGAAATAATCTAAGAACGTTCTCGTGTCTTTTGTTACAGGGACGTGGAGGAAAAATTCGGCGTGTTAGAAGCCAATTACTTGAAGCCTTTGAGGGATTTCGAACGGAACACCGGTCGATCGATCGTCCTCGACGCTTCTCCGGCCATCGTCCATCGAATATACGGCGTTTTAGATGTAAACGCCACGGAATTGACCGAAGACATCGACGCTACAATTTTATATGCAACTGCTTCTTTGATGGAGCACAATTGCACGCCGAACGTCATGCAGTTGATCGATGAAACCGAACGTTTCACCGTAACCGTCAGAGCCGCCTTGCCCATCGAGAAAGGTACTACAAAACTGTTTGTTTTGTTAGTTGAAAGTTTAGTAGCTTCAGCGCCTCCCAAACTACGGACGGCCTTCTCGAACACTTCAACGTGTTTTGCATACGATCAATAGTTTGACTGTTATTGCTCAATCAGTATACAGTGTGTGTGTTTGGTTTAAAGGTGATCACGTCTCGTCGATTTACACGCACATCCTGTGGGGCACGGCGGCGCGAAGAGAGCACCTGTTGCGCACCAAGTACTTTGGGTGCTGTTGCAAGAGATGCGCCGATCCGACGGAGTTGGGAACTAATTTGAGCGCTTTGAAGTGCATCGGTGGAGTCGAAGGGGATCTGTGCGGCGGCGTTCAGTTGCCTTTGAGGCCCACGTTGATGGAGGGAGCGTGGCGGTGCGATAAATGTTCGATAGAGTTGCCGGAGAAGGTAAATGGTGTTTCAATAAGACCATAAGAGGTTCATAAATTCATATAAATAGCATAAAAAATGTGTCAAATTTATGATGTTGCGTTAATTTTGTCCAGGGGTGTATTTCCATATTTTGCAACAGATAACATTGTTTTATTGAACCTTAAAATCTTGCGCTCTTATTGAAACACCCTTTATAAAACGTTGATATGTTTCTCGTCGTTTTGAGAGATTTTTTTATGTGTTTTTGTTTTTGTAGGATGTGATGAAATTCGTGAACCATCTCGGCGAGCAAGTGGATAAGGTGATGTCGAAGGTGCCTCGTTTGCGAGAATTGGAGGACGTTTTGGGCAAACTGGAGCATTTCCTGCATCCCAATCACTATTTGATTTACAACGTTAAGCACTCGTTGGTGCAATTGTTGGGTACCGAAGAGAACGTCGAGTATTCGGTGGACGATTGGTTGAAGAAAATGAATCTGTGCGAGGAATTGATTGCGATTACCAAAACGTTAGATCCGGGAAACGCCAGGTAATATTGAAACGCGATTTTTTTGTATAGCTACATTTGACAAGTAGTAGTCCCTTTAGTGAGCTAATAATTTTTAAATGCCTAATCGATTAATGCCTATAACTTTTTGTTACAGTTAAGATAGACTGGGGCAAATGTAATATTTTTACCTATTATGTTAATGTTTTTTATTATTTTTATAGTTCTTTTGTGCATTAGACAGTTTTAGGAAGTTGTGAATTTAATGTGGTATCAGCATTTCTAATAAGAGAAAAAATAAAACCACATTTTAGGATTTAATTTGAACTATTCAAATTTTACAACCGATTTGCCCCAGTCTACCTTATACAAAAATTTTGTATCGCCTGTACAAGGTGTTTCATAAAAAATCCCCTCATTTAAATTCTCATTAACCAATTTTTATGAAATAGGACATCTTCTTTTGTAGAATAACATGTACAAATAATACATTTTTGAAAAGTAGAAGAATATATCTTTCGAAAATTCCTCTACATATACAGGGTGTTCTATTTAAAAACAATTGGTTACTGCGAATTTAAAAGAGGAGATTTTTATAAAACACCTTGTATTGATAATGCATAATTTCTCTATCACTTTAACAAAACTTAAAATAAAACATATTTGAGAAAACGGCACGTTTTTATGATCAGGCATTAAAGAATTATTAGTTCATTAAAGGGGCTACTTTTCATTGGTACACCCTGTAATGTAATGCGATTTTCAGATTGAGTTTGTATCTTGGGGTGTTATTAAACGAACTGTTTATAGCCCAGTTTAAGATACTAACGCGCACGTGGGAGAATCCAACGCAGAATTTGTACACGGAGCAGTTGAAAGGGTATATTGTTAACACGATCGAAGAGAACAAGAGGGTTCTCGAATACGAACGAAGAACTGTGTCGGGTAATAAATTGTACGAGATCGTCGTTAAAAATGAGCAAATTTATAGCAGTTGGTGCGAATTAAACTCGCAGTAGAATTTAAGAAATGAAATAGTATATGTTAGCTGTTGATTAATAAATAAAAATTTACAAACTATCGAATTGTACATATTCCAAACGAGTAATCCCATTGATAGCATATATTAGAGTACGAGCGGTAGGCGAGGCGATCGGATAATTTGAATTTTTGGTTGAGGCGATCGGATAATTTGAATTTTTGGTTGTCTTTAATTAGTAGGGAAATTAAATTAATACCTAGTCCGAGAAAAATATAATAGATGGCGCCAAAACTTTTTGCAAGACATCGCGCACATTAACGTATGCTTAGGTTACTTAAGAAAGTATAGTAAAAGGGTGGTACCGGCGGGGGAGGACGGCGGAGCAACAAATTTATCCAACATCCATCATTTACTATGCTCATTTATGAAGATGAGGACTTTGAAAATCCTGCGCATATTTTTCCTTCAAGCAGAGCAACATACCCCTACCGTGGCAAAGGAGGTACTGAGCGCTCCGGCCGCCGACATGTCTATTTATTAAAATTTGTACACGCACGTGGCGCCATCTATTAATATGCCGACGAACTAATAGTATACCGATTGTAGGAAACTGTTTTTTACCATCTTCTTCTTTTCGGATTTTGGCCTCGGCTACTGTGGCTATTCGGCCACTCTGGCATCAAACACTTTGACAATTTGGTTGCCTATCTATTAGTGGCTATAAAAGGTATATTAATAATAAATGTAATTCCGACATCTACTAGATGTTGAATTGGTTGCCTATCATGAGAATAACTTGAGTAATGAGCATCAGGCGCAAACCATTAGAAAGGGTATTAACCAAGGGATGTAAAATTAACAATATTTTATGTAATGAACAAAATATAATTTATTGATAAAGATACAAAGATGCATTAAGAGCTAAATACATAAATAATATACAAGTATTGCGCGTACTCCCGACCAGTCAGCTCAACACAATGCGTTCCGACTGAACATTTTTTTTGAGAACGCTGGTCTACATATTGCATAATATAAATAATAAGTTACATATAAATTATAATAATAAAATAACTACATAACATATAAAGGTCTTGCTTGAGAAAAAAAAAACACACAAATTAAATAATTATTAAATAACAAAAAAAACTCCATTCTTGCATCGGTCAAAAAAAGGCACACGATTTAAGGAAGAAAACAATATGAAAAAAGCGGTAATAAAAATAATAAATAAATTAGCACGGAATGTACTGCTGTGACCGATGACGCGAAAAAAAATGTATATACCTAACCTAAAGAGTTTTCAGCACAACATTCGTATAAAACACACCTTTTATAAAGTTAATTTATTAGAAAAAAATCACACAATATCAAAATCACTCCGCCTATTATCAAGGCGTGATATTATTTGTTATATAAATACGACATTGCAATTTAAATCAAGTCTGAGTTGGAGTCGAGAAATTCGGAATATATGGATCTTTGAAATAAAAAAAAATGACTTTGCGAAAGAAATAAAAAAAAAATCAATTTCAATAGAACTGAACAATAAACCCCCTTATATTTGAGTTTAGTCGTAATTCTTTAGGCATAAATACTGCGTACAAAAATGAAAAGAAGAAAACGTTTTCAAAAACTATACCAATCGCTTTGGCGGTTTATTGCGTTAAAAAAAGATCCAAAAACAAAAATCCAATTTTCAAACCACGTAAACGAACAAAAAAAAAAATAATAATAAAAATAATAATAATAATAATAAACACCTACTACGAAAAAAAAATCACCTCACTACAACATCAAATCGCTGAACGACATGATTTGCCTTTCGAGCAGCTTATTGAAAACGGGTAGCCTCTGATCGTCGACGCCGGGCGAATGGAGCTCCGGCTCGCTAAAAAACGAACCCATCGAAGACGTCGGACTTTGGCTCAAACTGCACGGCGGACTAGGACTGTCTAACGACAAACTCGGACTCAAAGCGGCCGGCCTCGCCTGCCCCGACGACGCCCTATTACCTCCCAATTGTCCTTTGGATTGCGATTGAGCCGCCGCCGCCGCCGCAGCCGCCTCCTCCTGGTTGTGCACGAAATGGCAACGCGGCCCGTACGGACAGAAACCCACCGTGTGATAGGTGCGACAGAGCTCCGTCTTGTACTTGGGATGCCTGGCGAGGCTGCGCAGCTCGCCGATGCCGTGCGCGAACTGGCACTTGTCGCCGTATTTGCAGACGCCGAACTCCTCGAAGGGCCGGCACAGCTCCGTCTTGTAGCGCGACGTGTTCACCGTCGCCGTGGCGGCCGTCAGAGAGGCGGCCGGCGTCGAGGTGACGGGCGGCGCCGGCGCCGATTGGGTGCGCTCCAATCGCCGGTGGTGGTGGTGGTGGTTGTGGTTGTTGTTGTGGTGGTTGTGTTGCTGCGTGAGGTTGCCCAGTAGCATGGCGGCCAATTGGTTGGAACTGGCTTGGCCCACCATCGGGCTCGATGCCATTCGGGAGAGGGTGAAGCGCATCTGCGACGAGCCCAACGGCGATAGACCGGATTGGCTGTGATCGGGCGATAGACCGTTCTGGAAAAGAGATTGCAAATTTAAAATTTTTTATAATTCGTATACTTAAAGTTATAGGATGAGATAGGATTATTACATTATTTTATAGCATTTAACGCTAATAAGTAAGACTTTAAGATGCGTTCGATGGTACATAAACTGTCATAATTGACATTAATGACATTTCATATGACTGAAGTTTAATAGAAGTGGTTGTCATTTTTTCAATACTATTAGAGATGCAGTAACGTAACTACTGTTGCAAAATAGCGTTATGCGCTTATAAAAATAAGCGTTATTAATAGAATAAAGTAAATGAATAGAGGGTCATTTCATTTACTATACACTGTGCTCCATTTCCGATTGCAACATGGTCATTTCAATGAGTGGAACAAAGAAAGATTATTAAAATGTCAGTTGTCAAAGTGAAAAGTTGCAATCACACAAATCAGTCACTCTTTCCTTCTCCTTTATAACTGTCTATTGGAAGTTGTCTTTATCGCACCTTTATATAACCTATGTTGCGATCAAAAATGGAGCAATTTATAGTATCATTTAACACTATTGAGATATAGGCAGAATTTAACGCAATATAGAAATTTCCATATGGAAAATTTAAGTATATGAAAAATAAATATATGCAATGCGCAATATGGAAATTTCCATTGATTATTAAAATAGCACTGATTAGATTGGAAAAGTTCATTTAGAACTGTCTAAAATGATTTAGAACTTTCCATGGTAATTTAGAACGCTTCTGAACGAATCAGAACAGTCTAGAACAATTTAGAACTATCCAGAATCATTTAGATTGCTTCAGTGCAATTCAGAATTGTTAAGAAACATTTAGACCTGTCCAGAACAATTTCTAAATGCCTGAAATTATTTATATTGATTCAAGTCAAGTCAGAATTGTCGAGAACCATTTTATCCAACTGTCCAGGATCATTTAGAACTCTCTACGCCCACTTTACCTATAGTATTAAAATTTATAATCCCAATTTACATCAGTTCATTACTACTTGTTACACAACCGATTCCAAAATCGCATCCGAACGAATCGAAAGTGAACATACGAACGGAGTGGAATTGAAAAAAAAAATCCGTTCCTAGCGCCGCTATTATCCACGATTTATCGGGTGAAAGTGGTCTCGAAAGGTAGATGACTCAGTTACGCGTCGCGGAATATCTACTAGAGAGAATAATATACAAGAAATAGAAAAAAAAAAGTAGAAGACAACAACGAAAACGAACGTTGTTTTGATCGAAACCATCTACAATTATGTTATATGAGACAAAGGAGAAAGAGAAACGGGGACTCCCAACTAGGCGAAAAATACACGACGCAGGTACGTAATAGCCCAGAAATTATCGCTAAATAAATTATACTATATTTTATTATGTATCAAAATAGTAGGAATAATACTCTATAATTATTATACACACATTATAATAATCTCAAGCACGCTACCACATCATACGATATTAAAAAGAACGATTATTCTCTATATAGGTAAATGCAAATTAAGAGTTAAACGAAGAAATATTATTAAAATAACAGTGGTTAGAGTGAGAAAGTTGAAATCCCAAAATAATCCTCTATATATGAGACTAATGGGAATTTTCTTTGTTGCATCCATACAAGAGCAAAGAAAATTCTACAAAATTAAAGCTTTGTAACTAAATTACTCTTCGTTAATTTATTTATTTAGCGCCTGATATTCCTAAAATGTATCAAATAAACAGTGCAATTAATAAGGTAGATTAAAAACAATATGGCGGGTCCGGTTCTGTTATCTTATGCTGCTTTCTCGGCAAATTGACTCCGAGCTTTTGTCGCTAGTAAAATTAAAAGTATATAGAAAGTATATAATGCAGACTTTTACTACTAAATGCATACGATGCGACTACGTCGTAATGTTTCTCGATTGTATATCAGTATTATCAATATTAAAAACGCTTGCTAATTCGTTTGAAAATAAATCGAAACTTTTCTATATGCAACGAAAATGTATTCCATTTTCTCATCGAAATGTCAAAAAATATTTTTTAAAGTTTTGACAGCTAGAACACATTCTCTAATGCATAAGCATAGGAAGTTTCCAGACCTTAGAAATATACGACCGTGGTTTTGACATAAGTTAATGTTTTATGTCACAACTGTCATCGTTGACAATTAAAACAAGCGTGAAATAGAGTTGGGAATCATTTATTGGATAGAAATGTCGCAAAAATAACTATTATTTTGGTACTAATACAAATTTCAAAGTAAAATCTGGGGTTTATACGAATGACATTTAAATTTAAAGAAACGATGCGGTATTAGTCAGAGTACAACAAAAATATAACCGAAATCTTATCAATTTTATGTAGATTACCGTGGTGCAAAGACAATTGTTTTCGAAATGTTTAACCATTAATAAATTAATCGAATTAATAGAAATTCATAAACGTAAAGTCCACGTTTGAGTCACGTCTAAATTTAGTCGCGCCGACTCGGAATAAATTATTCAAATTTGTTTCTAAAAAAAAAACGAGATAAAGACTCGTATTTTCCTTTTACTTACGTTTTTCCTTCTGATTTATTTACAGATATATGGGTAAGTGCAAATTCGTTCTCGATTCTATGCGAGTTAAACAAAGAAAGACTACTGAAATAACAGTGGGTTAGAGTGAGAAAGTTGCAACAACTCCACAATATCACTCTTTCTTTATCCTTTCATATGAAACTAATGAAAATTGTCTTTGTTTGCATCCATTTACGTGTAAATTCGTTCCTCCTGACGTCAATAATGGACGAACGCTAATTTAAGCAATAAACAATATTTTATCGGCTTTATCAACGGATACTGTATACGAAAATAATTATCAAAAACACACTAAAAAACACGCGTGGGTCGAATCCGAACAAATAAAAAATTACTCATCAATTCCACGATACATTTCTGCCATGCAGAAATTAGCCGCAATCAACCGCAATAAAAGGCCGAAAAATTATACAAAACTTACCAGCGTGTAAGTAATTGCAAGATGAAGAAAAAAAAAAGTAAAAGTTAAACATTTACATAACACCGCAAGAGGACACAATCCGGCGTTGCCACGTTGCCACGTCGCCGCCTTTTTCCCCGGAATCGCGTTCCGTGACGAATTCGAAATTAGTGCGAAATTCGTGCCGGCTCGCGAATGCAATTCAGCGCATGTTATTCGCGAAAAAATTTCGACGGGCTACGATAATCACGATTTTATCGTGTTTACCAGATTGTAAAATTGTTACGGTGCATTATTATTATTTTTTTTTTCTTTCTATTATTATTCTCGTCATTCTCGCTAATACGTGGAAATAATCGAATCGAAAGGTGTTAAAATATCGAGTTTGTACGTTAGTAAAAAAATTCCAACGCAATCCCCCGGACTAACTTGCGAAATTATAGTACGGGCGATTCGGTTGAAAAAAAAAAAAACAAACCAACAAATTACATAAGAAATATCACGTTGACAAAATCGATTTGTAACAGTACGTAAAAATAAAAATTCTCTATGTCAATAGCAATTGATATAGAACACGCTTTGTACAACAAAACTGTAAAATTAATTCCGAAACGGTTCACAAATGAAAAGTCCAAAGGACAATCTTCGCTCCGATGGAACAAGACGATGCTCGGCTTAAACGGTCTCGAATGAATTGGGCGTAATTTAAAAATCGGTCCCCGCTCATTGGCCGGGAAATTAACAGATATTATTTTTCGGACGATAAACTTACGTCATTCAATTAACGAAATTACTGTGTAGCGCGCTAATTGTGATAAATTACGCGACTCGCCCTGTATATACAGCCTTCTATTAATACTATTCCAAACGGAATGAACGAATATAATTAAGTAAACATCGAAACTGGCCTTTCTCTTCTAATGTCAGTTACACGGAGTTGATGATAATTCATTTGGAAAATAAATTACTCTGTTGCAAACTGTTGGTAAACTGGTGCAATTAATATTTTTTTTGGGACGCCCTGTACACCTCACTAGGTTTTCTCTAAACTGGTGAATTTTTTTTGGGACGCCCTATACGCCTCGCTTTGTATACAATATAGTTCTATTCTAATGTCAGTTACAGGGAGTTGATAATAGTTTAATTAAAATACATTACCCTAAGGAGGCGGTATAATTCACAATTAAACGAGAACTAGTACAATTATTGATGTTTTTGGGACGCCCTGTATATTTTTCGCCAGGTCTATCTCTTCTAGAATCAGTTACAAGGAGTTCATTTGGATTAAACTGGCCCTACGAGGCGGTATAAATCGAAATTAATCGAGAATTTGAAAATAAGGATTATAAACGAGTAAACTGGTGCAATTAGTGAGCTTTTTTTGGGACGCCCTGTATATTTTTCGCCAGGCCTAACTCTTCTAGTGTTACAAAGAGTAATATACTGAGTCGGTATAATTCTAAAATTAAATGAGAAATTTCAAAATTACGATATAAAAACTCGTGCGATTGGTGAATGTTTTTTTTTGGGACGCCCTGTACGGCTCGGTGCGGGTTCTTCACGGTGTTTGAACGAACAATCGCGACTAATTCAACGGATTTCATAACAAAATCCGGAAGTATGCTTTCACTTTTTAATTTCAAGCATCTAATATTTTTCCTATTCGAATTCGATCAAAATGCACAAACTCGCTTACTTTACGCGAACCGGTTGCATAGCCATAACCGTAAATTCGCTTTTGTTATTTTTGTTGTTATTCAAAAATCGAAAATATCCTCGTGTGTGTGTGCATTTCCTCGTTTCGATCGGCGTGTCTAAGGTCAAAAAACCCGAATTAATACTATCGAATAAATAAATAAACGGGCGCAATTTGCCATTATTTCTAGTTGCGCTTTTACATCGAGGATGGAAACGAGTACGAAAATAATTATCGCTCGTAAATTTATCGCAATTTTCGACTTTTGTTTCCACCCGAGATACGGCGACGTTGCCGGTTTATCGTTTGCACACACGCCAAACCAGCCGTTTCTTATCCGATTCGGTCGGTTAAAAAAAAAAAAAAAGAATAAAATTTCCACGAAATGTGTGCAACATTATCAGGACAGGATTCGCCGCTTCATTTCCTACATTAATCGCCCGTTTAAATCGTACAATTTAGCCTAATAACAATTAAGTATTCGATTTAATTGAGTTGGGAATCTATGTTTTTGGTACAGTGATAAACGTTACAAATGAACTGTTATTTTATAACTATATCTAAAGCATAAAATAATGTATTTTTTACTGTGTAATAAGTATTAAGTATCAATTAGTGTGTATATTAATAGAAGTTTTAAAAATCCAACTGTCAAGTTTTTGTGTTCTGTGTACAAGTTTAAGAGAGTTGGAAATCGATTTTTTTCTGTCAAACTGTCAAAATTTTGTGTTTAATGTAATAACAAGTACAAGTTTAATAGAGTTGGGAATCGATTTTTTTCCTATAGTTACAAAATAACTGTTATTTTCTAACTACATTAGAGCGTTAGTAGGAGTTGTAAAAATCCACCCGGCGACCACATCAACATTCGAACGAGAAACCGAAGAGGTTTTTAAACGAAAAAAAGAGGAGACCAAAAAAAAAAAAATAAACATATATATATTTTTTTACCCCGACCGGTCGTTTTTTTTTTGCTTTCGGATAATTGATGCGAGGATAAAACCGGGTTTAAACTACCTGCCATATTTCAAACCAAATAAAACAGGTATGGCTACAGCAGGTTTTCAGAGTGCTCCGTTGCGTTGTGTACTTTGTATTCAAGGATCCATCTCTCATGCTGAAAAACCGGCTTCACGTCATTTTTGTAGGTAGGTAGGTAGGTAGGTAAGGTAAGGTAAGGTAGGATTATAAAAAGGTACTCGATACCTGTCCCGAGGGTCGGTAGGTGGAAGATAAGAAGACAAAAAAAAAGGGCACCCCGAACACGAAAAAGGGAGATTTTTGGGAAATTTCCACTGGACCTGTCGAATTTTCATTTTAATATACAAACGTTGATAGTTTCTCGCTTTGATCTTACTAAGAAGTGACTTGTTTTTAATGCGAATAGCGTCTATAAAGTTTATTAAATACCGGAAGAAACTATTACAAAATTATACCTACAATAGCTATTAATTTTCTCTTAAAGAGCAAATAAAATTGTTTAATATACAACACTAATATAATCAACCATCCCACAACTTGACAATTATACTCAAACATAATCAATTAACCCACAATTTGAAGAAAAAAAATTATCATTTTCAAACGTTTATGAATCAAAATTGTATTAAATACCGGAAGAAACTATTACACAATTAATTATCTAATAACAATTATTTTCTTTTTCATAAAAAAAGCATATATCTAATCAGCTAACTCGCAATAATTTGAAGAAATAAAACTTATCATATATTCAATCGTTTTAAATTTAAATACAACAATTATTAAACCCGCGTTAATTTGCTCGTAAAAGGAGTATAATTGCGGAATTCTGGAATAAGATTTCAATGCAACAATATTTTTTTTTGCATCTACACGATATTTCCGGAAAATAATCGCGCCTAATTAAAACCGGCGAGGTTGGGAGTTTTGTTTCACGGATAAATAATAATTTCCTCGTAAATCGCGGATTCAATCTGACGAAACAAGGTTGTTTTATTCAAATGAATAGATACAATATTTATTTCGAGATAAATTATAAAAAAAAACACGTCAGGAGAATACCAAACACTCGGTATATAAATATAACTATAGCGACTTTATTAACTAATTAAAAGGAATTTAAATTGGCGTTTCTAATCGCTGGAATATTTTTGTTTTCCATTCGAATAATTTCCGATCGGTTTTCGAATAATTTCAACCCCTTTCGGAATTAGTTTGCGCTATTTACACGTTGTTATTTCATAAATTAAATGGGTACAGCACAAAATAAATTACTATACAATAATTAGAATAATTGGTGAAACTAATTTAAAAGGTGCAAAGTTTGAGTGTATGTGGTCGGTTATTAAAATTAATTGCGGGAAATTTTCGTACAAAACTAATCGGAGTACATTAAAAAAAAAAACCAACTTGAAACGCTTTTAAATCGAGTTTCTTCTTTTTACGGTGCATTTTTTGCGATTTATTTTGTATAAATAATCCCGTGATATTTAAATAATTCCACTTTTAAAATGTAAATTTACAATAAATTAATGTTGACATGATCAATTCGTTCGCAAACTATATTTATATTCGCAAATCAAGTAGGTTTCATTTGTAATTAAAATAATACTGAACTTGTACCGAGCGTTTAAGAAGTTATTGGGTCAACTCAACAATAGTGCGCTAATTATAATCCTCTAAAATCGTACTATTAATAGAGCGAGGTGTAAATTTGCTAAATTAAATACGGAAATGGGAGGAAAATTTTACTTCAAATACATTTATCGCTATTTCTGATTTTATAGAAAGCTGATTAATAACAAACGTATTGCTCAAATTTAATCTACAAGGGACTTTATAAGGGAAATTGTTTAGTATCGAACTGTTCGAGTGTTGCCAATTTTAATCTACGAGAAATCCCCATTTAATAATTTTCTAGGATAATGTACTTGAGAATTAAAATATTGAATGTATACAAAAATCAAGTCAGATAAAATGTATCAGAATAAGGGAAATTGTTTAGTATCGAACTGCTCAAGTGCTGCCAATTTTAATCTACGATTGTAATAATATTCTAGGATGTATACTTGAGAATTGAAATATTGAATTTATACGAAATAAAGTCAGTTAAAATTTTAATCTACGAGTCATTTGCAATTGTAATAATTTTCTAGGAAGATAGTACTTGACGAATAATAATTGAATTTCTACTAAATCAAATCAGTTAAAATGTAGAATTAATAGGTGAAATTGAGTAGTAACAAACTGCCCAAATGTTGCCAATTTTAATCTACGAGTAATGGTATTCTATGACGATATATACTCGAGAAATATTAATTGAATTTATACTAAATCAAGGCACGTTAAAGTTAAAATGTATCGGCACAGTTAAAAGAATAATATAATTATTTTAATAAGGTAAAATAATGTAAATGCAAGGAAAAGTATCAATCACAAAACACGTGATAAAAGTCCATAGAAACAGGCACCGACGTGTCGCCCGAATCGAATTTCAATTTCAATCAACTTTTCCGCACATTCGAGGAATTCCATCAAAACCAATATTCAAAACGACCGCTCACCTTTATCAAACTCTCCCCGAACTCGTACATGGTGTTCTGTTGCATTATAGCCGTCGACATTTTATATTCCAAGTAAACGAAAAAATCGCTATATCACTCACAACAAAAATATATAATATACAAAAAAAATAAATAAATAAAACACTCTTCACACCGATTCGGCCTCGTCGTTGCGGGGAAGACTCGCTTTCTCGTTCGAAACAAATCTTATTCGTGATCGAAAACTTTATGATTTTATGTACGAAAAAGTGCGCTGTTCCACGTAAACGCAGCGAATACCGCGTGTGTGTTTTATAATGTATGTGTGTGTGTGAGCGTATCGACACTTTCACTCTACCTCTACGACTGAGCGATGGGGAACTGGTTGAAAATTTTTGTATTTTTACTTGGCGAGTCCGCCTGCCTGTTGCTTCGCCGGTGCTCGCTCGTTCTCGTCCCACCATAACGCCGATAAAAGCCGGCTCCGTCGGTGGGGGAAATTTGTAAACTTTTTCCAACTTCTTGTCCGACCGGGCGGCGTTGCCGGTTGTTCGAGAATATCGGCGGTGATTGGGTTTTTTTTAATGTGATGAGATGGATTTGAACGGATGATTAGCGGGAATTTGAGCGTATTGGGCAGTTGTTTTCAATGTAGAATGCGAAGCTTGAGAGTTCTGGTTAGTTCTAGATCGTTTTAAATAATTCTGGAAAGTTTTAAATGGTTCTGGAGCGTTCTGAATGATTCTCGACAATTTTGATTCGTCATGAAGCAATCTAAATGATTTTTGCAGAGTTCTAAATGATTCTGAATAGTTCAAAATGGTTCTCGACAATTCTGATTCGTCCTGAAGCAAACTAAATGGTTCTAAATGATTCTGGAAAAATCTAAATGTTTCTGCAGAGTTCTAATAAATGATTCTGGAGATTTCTAAATGAATCTGTTGAGTTCTAACCGATTCTCGACAATTTTGATTCGTCATAAAGCAATCTAAATGATTTTTGCAGAGTTCTAAATGATTCTGAATAGTTCAAAATGGTTCTCGACAATTCTGATTCGTCCTGAAGCAAACTAAATGATTCTGGAAAAATCTAAATGTTTCTGCAGAGTTCTAATGAATGATTCTGGAGATTTCTAAATGAATCTGTTGAGTTCTAACCGATTCTCGACAATTTTGATTCGTCATAAAGCAATCTAAATGATTCTGCAGATTTCTAAATGATTCTGAATAGTTCTAAATGGTTCTTGACAATTCCGATTCGTCCTAAAGGAATCTAAACGATTCTGTGGAGTTATTATAGTGAAACCAAGTAATCCAAAAAGAAGAAGTTTATACGTTTCTTGTTTGATAGAGAAAAATATTATCTCAATAACTCAATTATAGAGAACAATAAATCTCCAATATTTTATCGCATTTTAATCAATATAATCGATATAATATTGAAAAAAATCAAACAAACAAATTGTAATATCGTTCACCCCTGCGGTAATACTAGTATTTCCCATGGTATATTAATTCCGAAAAGTTGACCTGACCTTTACAATTTAATACTCATTAAAAAAATACATACGCCATTATATTCAAATTAACTAGTATGTGTCAGTATGAATAAAAATATAAAATTGTTGTTATTGTTTCCATCTAGTATGATACTAATGCCGATCGTTAATGAATGGGATAATTACGGCCCATTTATATACCGCGTGTTCCAGCTTCTCCATCCAGCTGGAATCATCACAAACTGCACTCTATACCAATCTTGGTCAATTAGAGGACGGTTTATTTTATTATTTTTAATTAGCCAATATGGAAAAGATGATGTCGATGCGAATATAAGCTTGTTTGTACTTGTGTTGTGCGTAAAAGTTATTCTATTCTACTCTGAATTAATCTACTTGGAAATGAAGATTTTTAAAGCAAAAAGTGTTCACTTTTTGATAGAAAATTTTCGGTATTTTTAAGTAGGTTATCAAAATACTTATCGAATCCGATTTTAAACATGTTCCATCGTTATCTCGAAGTGGCGAGATAAATGCCATAACTTCGAGTAGTTCATTTACCTTGATAAAATTCGAGCTATAATAACACTCAAAAAGGTCTGAGAAAACCACAGGTTTTTTATCCGTCAATTTATTAATTAGAACGTCAAACGAATATGTAGATTAGCTAATTTTTTTTAATTATTAATAAAGTATTTTAATCGATATTAATTGTATCAAGTATTATCTAGTGGGAATAAGTGTACATAAAAGCATAAATTTACTAGCTCGACATAAACTGTTATCTTATCGAATAAGGCGAAAAATAGACTGCTGGGTAAATATTGTCTTTCCTCAATCTCATGTTTTCTACACCGTTTCTCACGTATTCGATTTACCCACTCGAATGGAGAGAAATTCTAATTTTTTTATAAAACTTCTTATTCTTATGAAGTCATTGATGAAATGTTTAATTTCTTCCGATTCATATTAAGACCACAATTAAGTTTACCAATAATAATTTACCAATCATATTAAGATCATATTGGTGGTAAAGATCCTTTTAATATACAGTGAGGACCAAAAGTCCGTCGCCCCCCCTTAAACTTTTGAATGGTAAGAGCTTTTGTCGCGCAATTTGGGGTGTTCATATTGGAGTAAAAATACTATTATTTGGCGTAAAAATGACAGTTGAAACTTTCAAAATAACAGTTATGCGCCATTTTGACAATGGCGACTTTTGGTCCTCACTGTATAATCTAAGCGCTCGTATACAAATAATAATAAAACGGACTACGAAATGAAATCGTACGTTATTTCTCCGATAACCCAAAGCGCCCGTAACCGGCCGATAAGATAACAAGGAGCACATAGGGAAATTTTTCGAAAAACAAGTCAATTAAAAATCGTAAATTATTCGATAAATACAACCGATGTCATTGCACCGGTCGACGATTAATTCGAAGGCGATTTAACACGTCCACCGCCGTCGATTTTCAACAGGGAAATCGATCGGTTAAAGGACGAAATTGACGTATAGGTTTTTTTCGAACGACTAACATCGATATAATCCATAATATATTATATGTATATACATATAGGTTTTTGTCTTTGTTAACATTGAGAATGGTCGTTGGCTCGTTGCTTAAATCGAGGTCGAACTCCGACTGCACGCGTTACACGGGACGCATAAAATACATAATTGCGTATCGGTTAAAGAGGCAAAGGCGAATTGCACCTAATAAATCCTAATACACGGTTTAATGCTAATATACCACTTCGAACGTCCATTGAAAACTCGCTCGATTTATTGTGGCTCAAGATGCATTACGGTAAAGACCACATTGTACAAAATTTTGCAAAAAACACCCGTCGAATTCGACTTGTAACAAATCAATGAATTTTGTGAGGACCATTACACAGGTTGTTGCTTAAGAAATGTTACAGTAAAGGCCACATTGTACAAAATTATTGTAGCCTAAGAAATCCCTGTAACCCTGTAGATTTATATGAAATTTTAGTCATAAAATAAGCCAAGGAGGAATCACCCCCTTTCGGATGTACAAGATGTTTAGGAACATCCTGTATATTACTTTTTAGTGAATCCATTTGAAAAGTATCACGGCATATTTCTACTATGAAAACCGATTATCAACATTGGTGTATGTACATTTAACAACGCTACAACCTAAAACTATCTGTCATACATTTCGATTTAAGTAATGCATAATTTTTCGATAACATACTTTTCGACTGATAGCGCAATCGTCCGTTCGTCGAGCACAAAAAAAAATTGTATATAATATACGGGGTGTCCCAATGAAAAGTAGCCCCTTTGATGAACTAATAATTTTGATAAAACATGTACAAATAGTGCATTTAGGAAAAGTAGAAAAGTAGAAAAGTTACTGATGTGAATTCAAAAGAGGAGATTTTATAAAACACCCTGTATTGGTAATGCATAATTTCTGTATCACTGAAACAAAACTTCTAATAGAACAAAACATATTTGAGAAAACAGCATGTTTTTACGATTATTCGTTTACAAATTACAAGCTCATTAAAGGGGCTACTTTTCATTGACGGGACACCCTGTATAATAGAGCGTGTGGATACGCAACCGCAATATTTTTACACGCCCGTTTAAGCTTCCTGGTTTATTGATAAATAAATTGTAACTGGGCGTGTGAACGAAAACAATACGAACAACAAATGGCCGTTTAATTGTTTATTAAAATTTCGAATGAAAACGTATAAGAGGCTAATTGGTTAATTGAGCTGGTTCGACTTATTTAGAGCAATTAACCCTCCCGCTCTCGAAGCTTTATAGAAATAGAAAAAGATCCGCTGAAATATTATTCTCTTCTGCATACATGCATATATTTTTTTTCAACAGAATTTGTACGAGCGACTGTTTACGAAGGCGCTGCTGAACATGTGGTTAATGAAACGAACGAGATATTTACACTTGCTCATTTTACATTTACAACAAACATGCCAGCGTTTAGTACATGGGCCGGGTTAAAGTAGGGAGAAAATTGCGGTAAAAATTTTCCATTCATACGTCGCCACTTTTTACTAGCCCGAATTTAATGTTAATTCTCATTGATATTATGTAGATTCGTTCCACAAAATTCGTTTTAATTAGAGAAAAAATAAATAAATATAGTGTATACAGCGCGCATGCAAATTAACCAGATTGACCGAGATAAATTTTTCATGAGTATATAGAGAGCTCACCCCACGGACTAGCGAAGCATATTTAGTGCTCGACGATCCCTTGCGAGTACTAAAAACATCCGAGAGAGCCTTTCTTTTCCTTCGAAACAAATAAAAGAGTCCATTTATTAGCCTGCAGACGTTTTAAAACGAATCATCTTCCAACTTAACAACGACAAAACAAACAAAAACCGCATTCGTCAGTCGCTCGAAATAATTAATAATTATTACGAATCCGCTTCGACGAGTAGGCGTGTGGCCAACGTCGAACGTCAACTGTCACATGTCATTTGTCAATTTTTATCGAATGTATAATTATAAAAAATGCGAAATTGTGCATACAATAAAACTTGGAATGTATAATAAATAGAAAAAACATCTAAAT